AATGTATATTTTTGCCTTCATTTTCGTGTTTTACTAGCAACTAATTTTGGTATAAGTGCTCATGTTGTTGCACTGAGTCTGCAACCGATAGCACTTGTTCTTCTGGTCTTTTATTTCGCTATAACGGTACTGTTAGGGGACGAAATGGCTTTGTTTATCAAGTAATAAAGATAGAAATAAGGCTAGAATAATAAATTATAATGAAAAACAAAGTCATAAAATAGTATTAATGTACTTACTTGATACGGCATTTCGGTCACTGACGTGGTTGTCGGCTCAGTCATTCGGGAAAAGTAATAATATTGAATAGCAAAATAACGTTCGTAGTGGACAGAAATACCGAGAATAACAATCATCGTAGTAATAATAATGCAGTTGATAACAATGGTAATATTTGTAATAGCAGTAATAATGGTAATAATAATGATAATAAATACAAATTTAGCTTGAAGTAAAAATAAGATATAACAAAATATCAAAATGAAAAGATAGAATATTTAAATAGCTAAAAATTGTTTCAGTCCATTAAGTTGTGTACATTTCTTCCCAATACCACAACTGGGCCTTGTCAATACCTGGCCATGGTAAAACATTTAAATTCAAAATAAGAAAAATGTAACTTATAAATGAGAGAACCGCTGGTAGATTGCTATTGAAAAAAAAAAAAAACTTTCGGGCCCGTAGCTCAGAATGCTTTTGTCTTTCGCAGAAGCAGATAATTAGTGCGGTTTCCTTTGTCCTTTCCCTTTTAAAATACTCGGTTTTTTTAGAGTGCAGTAAAAGTTTGCTTTATTTTCCTGTAGAAGATCGTTTTGCTTCAGTGGCAAAGGCTGTGAAAGATGCAAAAATTGACGCCCTGGAGAATTCTTTAAATCGTTCACTGCGCGCAACCCAGTTCGAAAAGAGAGCCGAACGTTTGCTGAAGCTGATAGAGGAAAGAAAGCAGGCGCTTGTTTTGGAGCACAGCGAACTGTCGCAACAGATGGAAACGCTCAGAAAAACGCTCGGTAAGTAGAGGATACCCATGAACGGATCCGAGAGGGGGGAGGGAGGCATATATACCAGGGAATAGGGGGAAGGGATCCTACGGCAAACATACCAGTGCTACAAAAGACTGGGTCTAATGGCTAAAACTGAAGAAAACTCTCTTCCACACCCCGTTCCCCCTCCCCCCAACCATCCCCCGCAGGAAGCTCTGCTGGATCAGCCTATGAAAATACCAAATCTCCCAAAAATTGACCGTTGTTTTTGGGCTACAAAAAGATGCTTTTCAGAGGCAAAATTATCTGAAAAAAGAGCGAATGAGCAACTGAACGATAAGCTGTTAGCTGAGATGATGGAGGCGTCCGCTTCACCCGCCGTGAGTATTTTGCATTCATATTTCATATTTCATTCCCGAATTCCGTGACAATTTTCCCGCTACTTCTGCCTGCCTGAAACTGCAATGGTTCCTTCACTCACTGTCGTTGCCTTTTCCTCGGACCATGGGTACAAAGGTGTAAGCTGTAGCCACATCCTCTGCATCGGTAGAGTGGTAGGTGGATCCAGGGAGAGGGGGCGCCAGTGCTACAAAAGCCCGGATCTAAAGCTAAAACTGAAGAAAACTCTCTCCCGCACTCCCGTTGCCTCCCTCCCCCCCCCTTTCCTGCTCCCCTTCCCTGGCCTTTGCCATGCCAAGCACCCCCTACTCTCCCCATTCGTTATCCCCTCTCCCCCCGAGATTCCGTCCTGGATCCGTCTGTTAGTAGAGTAGCAGCGAAAAGCGGATCTACTACTCCTTCTGATCCATTGTTTTCAGTTGAATTTGCGTTAAAGAACGGTTTCGTTGATTCTTATTTCTCGTAATCACTCTCTTTCACCGTTGAGCTGATTTGAGTTAAATTTCAAGGAACTATTCAATGACGCCGATGTTCATGATCTGATTCAGTTCGTCAGACATGCAGTTACTGTTTCACAGTCGAAATTATAAAAAACTTTAAATTTTTGCAAAACTCGCATAATTTGGCCTCATTTGGGATGTTCTATTTGCAGTTTGGTGATTTGGATAAAGTCGTCGACGAAGAGGAACAAGTGCGAAGACAAGAGACGGATCTTCACCAGAAACTTGACGAAGCTGCAACTGAATTGGTTCGGAATGAAGAAGAGACGAAAACTGTGTTGGATGAGGGAGAAGAAATTAACGCTGAGGTCAGCTCAGCTGGGTCCAAGAACAATTTTTTTGGCGGATCCAAAACGGCTTCCTGGGGAAGGGGGAAGGGGAGCGATTTGGACGGTTTTCCTTCACTCTCCCCTCTCCTCGGTTAAAGCTATGTCGGACGCCGGGAGGGGGAAGAAAGTGGGGCTCCTGAGGGACAGAGCGGCAGAGGGTATCGAAGAGTGTTTTCTACAGTAAAACAACTGCTACCTGCGCCACTGGGACGGGGGAAACACCTTTAGCTCCTCGCCTGGATCCGCCAATGCTACTCACAGATCGCTGTGTGATTGACATTGCAGTTTCTTGCAGATTGAATCACTGAACAAGGAACTGGAACAGCTGGCGACGAAGGAGGATGAAAATCCTGAAGTAGTTGCTGTTTGTAACAAAACTCTTCGTGATAATCTGGAGGTATGAATGTGACTGAAGCCATTTCTGTGCTTGTTTTTGCTCATTTCTGAGCTGTGCATGAATTCCAGCATTTATTTTGATCAGCTGTTGTTTCATTCAAATAATCTGTTGTTAACTGTAAAGGATACTGGAATAATCAACCTATTTAGCGACTTTTCTGTGGCTACTTCGGTCGAAATTGAATCATTATTTGGCTTGCTGATAACCTTGGCTTCCATTTCCCTTTCTTTTTTTTGGAGGGGAAAAACGCGAAAAGGCCCGCTTGCTGACATTTTTGTCCGGAAGACTTATTTTTCAAATGATAAGAAGCAGGATTTGGGCAGAAAAGTAAGTTTTTTTGCAGGTGGAAATGAATGGAAAACTGCTGATCGAGCAGGAAGGGATCAAAAAACTGGAGACCGAACTGAGCATCGCAAAGCGAGTGAATGCATCAAAGCTAGCGATTGTTGGCGACGAAGATCTGCGGCGTGACTGGGACGAAGAGACTGAAAAAGCCAAGGACGAGAAGAGGCAGGTGAATGAGGCACTGGCTGATGCGCAACAGGAATGTGGCACTCTTCGCATAAAGCAAATGGACTTAGAGATCGAAGTAATTATTTTCGAGTTTACCACAGTACTAGCTGACGCGCTTTTTGCCTTGACTACCAAGGCATTCGTTACGGAGGAGGGGGTCGCATGTTATTTTTGATACTGAAATGCTCTTCCACCATTAAGGGCATACAGGGCGGTTTCCTAGGGTGAAGGTAGGGGGAGTGGGGCGGGGAAAGACGGGGAAGGGGGGGACGATTTGAAAAATTTCCCTCCCCGCCCCGGTCGTCGCTACATCGGAAGCCTCACGGCATCATTTTCCACAAGAACCTATTTGCAAAAAAAATTTCTTTTGTTATTTAAGAAAAGTCGCTTGGAGATGGAACTTACTGGTGCACGTCAATTCCACGTTACCGAAATGGCATACATTGATAATGATATCGACAAAAGGAACGAGTATTTGGATAAAATTCTTGCGCAACAGGAGCACGACAAACGTGATCAGGTTGATGTTTTATACAAAACAAGCAAAAAAACTGTTTGCTCGAATTTTTTTTTCGCAAAAATCAACAGCATGTGCGATCTTCTTTCACATCACAGTATTTTAAAGGAGAATGTAACCAGTGTTATTTTTATGCGTTTTTTGCAGCTATGCAACGCAGAAAACGCATATTGACGAGGGGTTGTCTGTGTGTACGTCTGTCCTGATTTTTCATCTCAAGACCTATAAAAGCTGCAGGACTAAAACTTTGGGAACTTAATCTACATGCACGTACGGGCCCCAGTCCCCAAAATGGGCGCCTTTACCAGCGTGGTACCCGCGTACGGCCCCACCAAAATTTTTTACGGGTAAGTTCATAACTTGGGGATCTGAGAAGCTAGAAAGCTGAAATTTTAGGGGAATG